GAGAGAGAGAGAGAGAGAGAGAGAGAGAGAGAGAGAGAGAGAGAGAGATTTGGATTATCAATGAATTAACATTATATGTATATATGATATAATGATAGATATTCGCCATACGATTGGTAAATAAAATAAATACTTTTTACATTAATAATAATGTTTTAACATTTAATTCACTTACGTATTGAATAAGTTGTTAAATCACTTGTGTTTTAAATGACGCTATCGTTAAACAACTCACAGATTTGTATACGTTTTTCACAGAAAATATATACTATCAATAAAACCCACTTATAATATACAGTAAATAAAATACCTTATGGTAAAAAGTATGCGACAGTCAGAAAAAACACTATGATCTGCGAGGAAATGATGGTAAACTACTTTGTGGTGCAAAAACTTGTTGTATCGCAATCTCGCGTAACACAACTCCCCCTTTAAAAGTCAATGTAAATACCAACCAATACCTCGTATACCAATCCTAGTATACAATACTATTTTCAATGCTATTTTCTAATGTGTTGTGTTTATACAGTGTTTTATTTTATTATAATTTTCTGCCTCTCATATTATATAACGTAAAGTACTGTACATTCAATTCAATGGCAGTATTTTATGGCAGAAACAGGTTTTTAGGTTTTGGTATTAAGTATTTCGTGTTTTATTTTTAATATAAAAAACTTATTGATGTTTGCGTTTCGGCGTCGATGGCTGTTCTCGTACTCTCTCATACTCTCTCATGAGAGAGAGAGAGAGAGAGAGAGAGAGAGAGAGAGAGAGAAATTTTGTTGTATAAATATTCTGCAAGCACTTACAACAAATTTATTTTAATAATCATTTATTATTTTATTGCTAGACATACATAACAGTCGATTCCGTTAATTATATACACATGTTATGCAAAAGTCAAACGTTTAATAAACAAATTCTCGATAGAATTATACAGAAATTTGTCTGTGTTTTGAATATTGATTTTCAATGTTTTGTTTGATATTTATTTTTATCAATGTTTTAAATTTAATGTTATTTTGTGTTTCAATTGAATGATTACATGATTTCATTTATATCGATATTTCATTAAAAATTATTACATATTTTTGTGTAACGTTTTAATGATGTAATCCATAAAAATAAATATTAAGTTACTTTTATAGTCTTTTTATTGTGTTTATATTATTATATATACATATAATCAGGCCATTCCAAAATAAAAGGGGACAATTTTTATTTGAACGTGGTTATTGTATGAACTTGGCAATTTTTAAATATTACTCACTAATATCACTCATTATATATAAATAGACTGTGAATAGTGTATGAATAATGTGCACTAATTTTTTTAAAATTTGCCTCAAACTGGCACTTTGGAATCCGCTGCATATAATTATTGGTAATATTAATAGTAAAATTCAGACATTATTTTTTGGTTATTATTCTAACATTAGGTATTAAAATATTTGCATTTTAAGTATAAATAATATTTAAAATAATTTAAATGAAAAATACTAATTATAAGAAACATAAGTTAAACATAATCATAGATTAAACAATTCAGTACAGAAAGTTACAAAATAAATAAACCATACTCAATTGTTACCTACTTGTATTGAAATTTTAATAATGATAATTTTATTGCATTTTATTTTTATATCACAACCTGATAATAACTATCTTTCCAAATAATAAACATCACTTTGTACTGATCCACAACATTTATTTTTATTTATAACAGTACTGAAGGTGTGTCAAAGTTAGATAATGGTAAATCGCAGTTTAATACAGTACAATGCAGATTAGATTACAATACATGTGCACATTTAATGTACCAAAAATGTTACAAAATTTAAACTAGAATGAACTATGAACCTGGTGAATGAATTAAATCAATAAAATCGCTAGTGGTAATACAATCTATAATTGTCAAATTATCGTACTATTTCTATAAATATCACTTTACATTCTAGTGAAAAATGATTTGATAACTGTGATCAAGCTGATTATTCTTAATAAGTATCTAAAATGCCTGTATGTGAGCCACACGTGTATAACCAGTGGTTTTGTTTTAATGAATTAACTTATCAAGATTTGTGTGCTATTGTGATACGGGGTTTGCCTAACATTTAGTATAAAATTTTAAATTCTTGCAAATTATGAATGAAAACTTGTGATCAAATCTTAAATGCATTTATATCATGAATAATTGATTTTATTTTGCAATTATTATATAAATAGCAGTGATATGTAGAATCGATTTATAATAAAAACTTTACAAAAGATTTTGTAAAATTAAATAGTGTCTTAATTATACTGTAAATTAAACTTTTATAATATATAAAATATGGTGAATAAAAAGCTGAAGGTATTATTTGTGCCGATCTCCGGTGTCGGTCACGTCAATGCCTGTATCAGTATTGCCGAGACGTTGATAGACAGAGGACACGACGTGTGGTTTACGGTCAACGGCTTTTGGTCGGGAAAACTGACCAAATATGGCGTCAAAGAAGTATTGCTCGACAAATCCGACTCACCAATGGATGCGGACAATATGGCCGAAGTGGCCAAACATATGGTCACTTCGGGCAAGATTGGAGGCGAATCGGCCCTTCAGAAAGCCCGGAGTCGGGGCACTACTATTGAGTTGAAGATGAAATACATACAGTATTTAGACGAACAGCTCGAGCGCCTGTTGCCCGCCATTCGGCCGGACGTCATAATTGTGGATCAGTTCATGACATTGCCATCAGTGGAGTTGTCGGGCATACCGTGTGTCTGGTCCTGGAGTGCCGGACCACTCGTGATGGTCGACGATGAGAGGGCACCGCCCGCAGCATCAGGTATGTAATGCCAGGTGTAATACAAGCGCTGGAATTAATCTAAAAATTACTGCATAGGACTGTCCGCTGCGGGAGACAAAAGATTATGGCAAGAGTTTCGACAAATCAGACGCAATGGCACCGCAAACTCGTATATGGTGTTCAACGACTGGGTGGTCGGCCGGGGCTGCGAACCACTGCCCGATTGCGCCCTCAAAAATTCCAAGAATTACCTCAATATATACGGCTATCCCCTGGAGTTGGACTATCAGGACATCCGGCCGTTGGGCCGTAATTTTGTCCGCTTAGATAATCTTAAGCGCACCGAACAGTACATGACTTTTACTGTACCGCCAGAGTTGGCCGCAAAGCCGGGAAAATTGGTTTACTTTTCTCTCGGATCGATGGGTGCGGCGGATGTGGTAAATATGCGCCGACTTGTGGCCATTTTGGCCAAATCTCCGCATCGGTTCATCGTATCAAAGGGTCCGTTGCATATGGACTACGCTCTGGCCGACAATATGTGGGGCGAGGCGTCTGTGCCTCAGATCCAAGTCCTACCTCTCGTAGATCTGGTGCTAACACACGGCGGCAATAATACGGTCACCGAAACCATGTTCTTCGGGAAACCGATGATAGCTATGCCTCTGTTTGGCGATCAATACGATAACGCACAGAGACTTCAGGACACGGGCTTTGGTATACGACTGGACGCATACAAGTGCTCAGAGAAGGAGTTGTTGGCGGCAATCGAGAGTTTGCTTAACGACAGAGCAATTACTGACCGCTTGGCCGAAGTCTCCCGAAGAATACAAACGGATAATAGTTTAGCAAAATTGCCAAAACTTATTGAGGATTTTGTTCAAAACCCCCGCAAATATATTAAGTAATTGCTTAAACAAACCATTACTAAAGTCTCACATATAAAACACTAATCAAAATTAAATGTAGAATTAAATAATGAATATAATAACGATACCATTAAACCTAATGCTGATTAATAAATCAAATTATTTAAATTAAATTTACCTTAACCCATTAACAGAATATTCTGTATGCAACGTAATTTATTGTCACCACAATTATCTCAATAGAATTCGCATAAACCGGCATTTAGAAAAATCACCTTGTTTGCAACATAATTACGTATTTTATATTCACGCATCATGCAATTAATTTTAGTCATTATTATAATAAAATATTATTGAATTGGTTAATAAATTAATTAATAAAATAACATTTAATTAAACTACAATAAGTTTCACTACGTTTTATATGTATGGCTCACAACAGAAAACACATTCATAAGTAACGAAGTTTACGAACAGTCGTTACAAACAAGAGGTTTAACGCATTGATAATACAGGCAAAGGGGGGCCAAAGGGGGCACACATTAGGGGCACGTAATTGACATCCAATGAGAGACAAAGCTTTACAACAAACAGATATTCGAGTGAATTATTGACAGCAAAAACCAGACGATTGATCACCGCATCTGATCCCAAGACACTGAGACACAGCGAGACATCGCCACTAAACCCATCCACAGGTGTGTCCATCTGTTCCGGAGGGACAGTCACCACACAAATGATGTCATATCATCTGAAGAGAGCGCGTATTGACACCACTCAAGAGCCGGCCGTCTCTGCGGCCGATCATCACAACAACGGTTCCAACGGCTCGGCCGGCAATGTTGTCAACCATAGGGACAAACTCTTGCAACACATCCGCGAGCTATACCTTCGCGAAGACTATTCGGACGTGGAGTTCGTGTTCGGGCCGGACGTCATCCACGGTATACTCCATTATCTCTCATTGTCTTATCATCTAATGATCTCATTGTCTGTGCATCTGATCCCAACCGTAGCCCATAAGCTGGTGCTGTCTGTGAACAGCAAATGGCGTCAACTGCTGCGCGGCCAGAGCTCTGTGGACATGGAGGACACGCCACTCGTGGCGTTCAAAGAGGTGTTGCGCTATCTATACAACGG